CTAGTTCAGTTCTAGTTCAGTTCTAGTTCTAGTTCAGTTCTAGTTCAGTTCTAGTTCAGTTCTAGTTCAGTTCTAGTTCAGTTCTAGTTCAGTTCTAGTTCAGTTCTAGTTCAGTTCTAGTTCAGTTCTAGTTCAGTTCTAGTTCAGTTCTAGTTCAGTTCTAGTTCAGTTCTAGTTCAGTTCTAGTTCAGTTCTAGTTCAGTTCTAGTTCAGTTCTAGTTCAGTTCTAGTTCAGTTCTAGTTCAGTTCTAGTTCAGTTCTAGTTCAGTTCTAGTTCAGTTCTAGTTCAGTTCTAGTTCAGTTCTAGTTCAGTTCTAGTTCAGTTCTAGTTCAGTTCTAGTTCAGTTCTAGTTCAGTTCTAGTTCAGTTCTAGTTCAGTTCTAGTTCAGTTCTAGTTCAGTTCTAGTTCAGTTCTAGTTCAGTTCTAGTTCAGTTCTAGTTCAGTTCTAGTTTTGTTCTAGTTTTGTTCTAGTTCAATTTAAATTCAGTTCTAGTTCAGTTCTAATTCAGTTAATTTGTTTACTACTAACAAATCAAAAATTTTGAACTATCTTAAAGCGTCTATCCTTAATATTAAACATTTCAATCATTAACTGTCAATATGACAGCTAGCATGTCCGTTATATTTACATAATCAAAACAAATAAACATTTAAGATTAAGATTAACAAAATAAACAATAAATCAAAAATTGAGTATTAAATTTTCTAAAATTCCCAAAAATTTTCCATATGTTAGAAATTATGGAAAATTATTTATTTATTTAACTGTTAGAACACTCTCATCTTAAAAGATTACTTATTATAAAATTATTGATTGTTATTGTTGTAAATTATTGTTTATTTATTAATTAAGAAACAAATTTCCCCGTGTGTGTTTTAAATATATTTCAAAATTACTTTATATTTTGGTCACATGCTTTTTCCTTTGTTTCATTTAATTATAATAATTTTTTAAAACCCAAATTCCTTTATTTGAAATTCTTTTGTAATTATTTTTGAGGCAAAATTTTTTATTAAAAATTATTTAGCAATCAATCATTGAATTTATATCTCTTTTGTCTATAATTAATGTCTTTTGGTTTTTCTTTTTTTATTGTTTAATATTCGAAATTTAAATTTTGTTTATTAAAAGTTTTTCTTTTTTTTACTACTAACACAAGGCCATGTTGTTTGGCCTTTGGTGAGAAAGAAAAGGTCAAACATCTGTCAGTTGAATTTGGAAAAAAATGACCCAGTTTTTTAGATAATTTAAGGAAACTTTATGTCTTAATCTAATTTAAACGTAAACATTTTGTACACAAAGTTATGAATGAGTTTATTTTTAAATCTATTAATAATTCATTCATAAAAAAACGATTTGTTTAAAATTAATATTAAATACCCTACATTTGTTTGGGACGACTGTTGATTCTAACATGTTAAGAAATAATTTACTAGTTCAGCAATCGATTCGACTTAAGGTCCAATAAATTATATCGAAAATTGTCATCATCCACACCTGTCCTTCTAAAGCATTGGAATCAATTCTAGTTCAGTTCTAGTTCAGTTCTAATTCAGTTCTAGTTCAGTTCTAGTTCAGTTCTAGTTCAGTTCTAGTTCAGTTCTAGTTCAGTTCTAGTTCAGTTCTAGTTCAGTTCTAGTTCAGTTCTAGTTCAGTTCTAGTTCAGTTCTAGTTCAGTTCTAGTTCAGTTCTAGTTCAGTTCTAGTTCAGTTCTAGTTCAGTTCTAGTTCAGTTCTAGTTCAGTTCTAGTTCAGTTCTAGTTCAGTTCTAGTTCAGTTCTAGTTCAGTTCTAGTTCAGTTCTAGTTCAGTTCTAGTTCAGTTCTAGTTCAGTTCTAGTTCAGTTCTAGTTCAGTTCTAGTTCAGTTCTAGTTCAGTTCTAGTTCAGTTCTAGTTCAGTTCTAGTTCAGTTCTAGTTCTGTTCTAGTTCTAGTTCTGTTCTAGTTCTGTTCTAGTTCTGTTCTAGTTCTGTTCTAGTTCTGTTCTAGTTCTGTTCTAGTTCTGTTCTAGTTCTGTTCTAGTTCTGTTCTAGTTCTGTTCTAGTTCTGTTCTAGTTCTTTCTAGTTCTGTTCTAGTTCTGTTCTAGTTCTAGTTCTAGTTCTAGTTCTGTTCTAGTTCTGTTCTAGTTCTGTTCTAGTTCTGTTCTAGTTCTGTTCTAGTTCTGTTCTAGTTCTGTTCTAGTTCTGTTCTAGTTCTAGTTCTGTTCTAGTTCTGTTCTAGTTCTGTTCTAGTTCTGTTCTAGTTCTGTTCTAGTTCTGTTCTAGTTCTGTTCTAGTTCTGTTCTAGTTCTGTTCTAGTTCTGTTCTAGTTCTGTTCTAGTTCTGTTCTAGTTCTGTTCTAGTTCTGTTCTAGTTCTGTTCTAGTTCTGTTCTAGTTCTGTTCTAGTTCTGTTCTAGTTCTGTTCTAGTTCTGTTCTAGTTCTGTTCTAGTTCTGTTCTAGTTCTGTTCTAGTTCTGTTCTAGTTCTGTTCTAGTTCTGTTCTAGTTCTGTTCTAGTTCTGTTCTAGTTCTGTTCTAGTTCTGTTCTAGTTCTGTTCTAGTTCTGTTCTAGTTCTAGTTCTGTTCTAGTTCTGTTCTAGTTCTGTTCTAGTTCTGTTCTAGTTCTGTTCTAGTTCTGTTCTAGTTCTGTTCTAGTTCTGTTCTAGTTCAGTTCTAGTTCTGTTCTAGTTCAGTTCTAGTTCAGTTCTAGTTCAGTTCTAGTTCAGTTCTAGTTCAGTTCTAGTTCAGTTCTAGTTCTGTTCTAGTTCTGTTCTGTTCTAGTTCTAATTCTGTTCTAGTTCTGTTTTAGTTCTGTTCTAGTTCTGTTCTAGTTCTGATCTAGTTCTGATCTAGTTCTGATCTAGTTCTGATCTAGTTCTGATCTAGTTCTGTTCTAGTTCTGTTCTAGTTCAGTTCTAGTTCAGTTCTAGTTCAGTTCTAGTTCTGTTCTTGTTCTGTTCTAGTTCTAGTTCTGTTCTAGTTCTGTTCTAGTTCTGTTCTAGTTCTGTTCTAGTTCTGTTCTAGTTCTGTTTTAGTTCTGTTCTAGTTCTGTTCTAGTTCTGTTCTAGTTCTGTTATAGTTCTGTTCTAGTTCTGTTATAGTTCTGTTCTAGTTCTGTTCTAGTTCTGTTCTGATCTGTTCTAGTCCGTTCTAGTTTTGTTCTAGTCCGTTCTAGTTTTGTTCTAGTTCTGTTCTAGTTCTGTTTTATTTCTGTTCTAGTTCTGTTCTAGTCCCGTTCTAGTTCTGTTGTATTTCAGTTCTAGTCCTGTTTTAGTTATATTCTAGTTCCGCTCTAGTTCTGTTCTTGTTATGTTTTTGTTCTGTTATAGTCGTGTTCTACTTCTTTTCTAATTCAGTTCTGGATGAGTGGTGAAAGTTAGAGTAGGAGGTGGAATTTGAACAACTGGTAGACAATTTGAAATGTATTCCGTTTGATTAAAATGGATGATACAAGGATTTGTGGCAACTGTTTCTATGGCATCAATAAACAATTTAAAAATAAAGGAAACACTTTTGCGATTAAACTACAAAGTGAGGATGCAGTCATATTGGTTTGATATTTATATTTGTGATATGTTTTTTTACTCGTGAATTGTTTGTTAAAGCTTCTGTTTAACATGAGGGCGAAAGTAATAAAAAGAAAATTTATCACATTAAATTAGCAGAATTTTCACCCATTTCCTTTTGACCACGTTATTCTGTATCATTTTTAATGGACACAAATAGTTTTTTTTCTGCAGCACGTAACATTTACCCCGTTAAAATGAAAAAAAGTGGAAAAAAAAATAAAAAAAATTTCCAATTTTTTTCATACACAAAAGGGAAGATGTAAAAAATAAGAATGAAAAAAATTTCGATTTTTTTTTCCTTAACAAAAGGGAAAATGAAGAAAACAGTAATAAAAAAAATTTAAATTTTTTTCCTTGACAAAAGGAAAATAAAGAGGAAAATGGAATAAGAAAAAAATGCTATTTTTTCCTCAAAAAGGGGTGCATTTTTTTAACATAGATTTTCCGAAACCCTCTTTGTTTTTTTTTTAATATTTCGCTATTATTTCATCCTTAAATATTTTTCTTGATGTCCTTTTTACTTTATAATTCTCATTTGGTTTGTGAAATTATGGAAATAAATGTTACAGTTTGTGATGACTGGTGTAGGAGTAATCATGATCCCCCGTAGTGGGACTTGGTTAAAAAAACAAGTATTTATAACGTAAATTCTCGTTCGGATAATTTTTGGGGAGCCGGGATTGGTTTCAATATGCCATATCCCGACATTAATTAAATAAATTTCATAATGTATGGATTATTGAAATCAATTTATTAGTAATTTAATAAAGATTTTTGCAAATTTAAATCCTAGACCTCCCACGATATTTTTAAATTGAGTGGTATTATATTTCCCCTTTTGTTTTAAATCTCGTTTAAATCAAGCTTCAATATAAACATTTAAATTATTATCACTTTTTTGTTTATATTCTTTTTTTGCTGAAATCTATACTGTGCGCGTGCGCTTTGTTCTGCATCTAGATTACTACGTAGCCAGTCTGTAAGTCGTGTCTGTAGATTTGAGATCAAAATACCATCAGACGTCGTATAACTTATGTTAATTTTTTGCATTGCAATTTTTTTTTGCTGTACATATTATTAAATTTGCTAAATAAACATTTATAATATGTTTATTAATGTTCAGAAACTTTATCCGTTTTTATGGCTTTTTTATTGACATGGGAATTGGTTACAGTTTTTTTCGTACTTTAGAGATTTTTATTAATTTTTTAATTAGTTTAAGTGTTTAGGGAACTTTATAGTTTTTTTATATATGAATTGAAATTTGAGGAAATGTTTTATATCAATTGTATGAAAAAATATTTTGCGTGATTTACTGCGGATTTTTTTTTCTAATTTTATAGTAGACTAAACAAAAATAATAAATATTTATTTATATAATTGTTTTTTTTACGTATATTTCTATATTTAATAGTTTAATTAATTTTGTTATGTATTATTTTTTTATTTGCAGTATTTCAATGGGGTGACTTGTGAAATTTAATTTAACTCCTGAACCCGGGACTAAAAGGTAGGAATTGTAAATCGTTATAACTTCGATTAACAAATTTATTTACAAAATCAAATTTAAACGAAATCCTTTAAATCAATTAGAAATTGTTAGAAATTTTTCTGAAACATTCGTTCTAGTTCAGGTCAAGTTCAGTTCTTAGTTCAGTTCTAGTTCCGTTCTAGTTCAGTTCGAGTTCAGTTCTAGTTTCAGTTCGCGTTCAGTTCTAGTTCAGTTCTAGTTCAGTTCTAGTTCAGGTTTCTAGTTCAGTTTGAGTTCAGTTCTAGTTCAGTTTCTAGTCAGTTTCTAGTTCAGTTCAGTTCAGTTCTAGTTCAGTTCTAGGTTCAGTTCTTAGTTCAGTTCTAGTTCAGGTTTATGTTCAGTTCTAGTTCAGTGCTTAGTTCAGTTCTAGTTTCTTCAGGTTTCTAGTTCAGTTCTAGTTCAGGTTCTAGTTCAGTTCTAGTTCAGTTCTAGTTCAGTTCTAGTTCAGTTCTAGTTCAGTTCTAGTTCAGTTCTAGTTCAGTTCTAGTTCAGTTCTAGTTCAGGTTCTAGTTCAGTTCTAGTTCAGTTCTAGTTCAGTTCTAGTTTCAGTTCTAGTTCAGTTCTCGTTCAGTTCTAGTTCAGTTCTAGTTCAGTTCTAGTTCAGTTCTAGTTCAGTTCTAGTTCAGTTCTAGTTCAGTTCTAGTTCAGTTCTAGTTCAGTTCTAGTTCAGTTCTAGTTCAGTTCTAGTTCAGTTCTAGTTCAGTTCTAGTTCAGTTCTAGTTCAGTTCTAGTTCAGTTCTAGTTCAGTTCTAGTTCAGTTCTAGTTCAGTTCTAGTTCAGTTCTAGTTCAGTTCTAGTTCAGTTCTAGTTCAGTTCTAGTTCAGTTCTAGTTCAATTCTAGTTCATTCTAGTTCAGTTCTAGTTCAGTTCTAGTTCAGTTCTAGTTCAGTTCTAGTTCAGTTCTAGTTCAGTTCTAGTTCAGTTCTAGTTCAGTTCTAGTTCAGTTCTAGTTCAGTTCTAGTTCAGTTCTAGTTCAGTCTAGTTCAGTTCTAGTTCAGTTCTAGTTCAGTTCTAGTTCAGTTCTAGTTCAGTTCTAGTTCAGTTCTAGTTCAGTTCTAGTTCAGTTCTAGTTCAGTTCTAGTTCAGTTCGAGTTCAGTTCTGGTTCAGTTCTAGTTCAGTTCCAGTTCAGTTCTAGTTTAGTTCAGTTCTAGTTCAGTTCTAGTTCAGTTCTAGTTCAGTTCTAGTTCAGTTCTAGTTCAGTTCTAGTTCAGCTAGTTCAGTTCTAGTTCAGTTCTAGTTCAGTTCTAGTTCAGTTCTAGTTCAGTTCTAGTTCAGTTCTAGTTCAGTTCTAGTTCAGTTCTAGTTCAGTTCTAGTTCAGTTCTAGTTCAGTTCTAGTTCAGTTCTAGTTCAGTTCTAGTTCAGTTCTAGTTCAGTTCTAGTTCAGTTCTAGTTCAGTTCTAGTCAGTTCTAGTCAGTTCTAGTTCAGTTCTAGTTCAGTTCTAGTTCAGTTCTAGTTCAGTTCTAGTTCAGTTCTAGTTCAGTTCTAGTTCAGTTCTAGTTCAGTTCTAGTTCAGTTCTAGTTCAGTTCTAGTTCAGTTTAGTCAGTTCTAGTTCAGTTCTAGTTCAGTTCTAGTTCAGTTCTAGTGTCAGTTCTAGTTCAGTTCTAGTACAGTAGTTCTAGTTGTTCTAGTTCAGTTCTAGTTCTAGTTCAGTTCTAGTTCTAGTCAGTTCTAGGTTCAGTTCTAGTTCAGTTCTAGTTCAGTTCTTAGTTCAGTTCGTTAGTTCAGTTCTAGTTCAGTTCTAGTTCAGTTCTAGTTCAGTTCTAGTTCAGTTCTAGTTCAGTTCTAGTTCAGTTCTAGTTCAGTTCTAGTTCAGTTCTAGTTCAGTTCTAGTTCAGTTCTAGTTCTAGTTCAGTTCTAGTTCAGTTCTAGTTCAGTTCTAGTTCAGTTCTAGTTCAGTTCTAGTTCAGTTCTAGTTCAGTTCTAGTCGTCAGTTCAGTTCTAGTTCAGTTCTAGTTCAGTTCTAGTTCAGTTCTAGTTCAGTTCTAGTTCAGTTCTAGTTTAGTTCTAGTTCAGTTCTAGTTCAGTTCTAGTTCAGTTCTAGTTCAGTTCTAGTTCAGTTCTAGTTCAGTTCTAGTTCAGTTCTAGTAGTTCCAGTTCAGTTCTAGTTCAGTCTAGTTTAATTCTTTTTACTTCTAGTTCAGTCCTATTTGAAAGAAAGAAGTTAAATTGTTTTTATTTTTGCAATTTTTTTTGTAAAATTACAATTTTTGAAATCTTAATCTATAAGATCAAATATATACATATGTTAAATCTCATTACGCCAAAGTTATTTGAAACACACAAATGTACCTCCAATTGTCGGTTAAATAATAAATTTGTTTGAAGATTGTTTATGACCGCTGAAACATGTGTTTCATAATAAAAGTAATCACCTTAAACTTGAAATTATAAAACGATTTTTGTTTCTATTATAAAATAATAAATAAAATACCAAACTCATCAAAATGTTCATAAACATCAGAGTTGATCACAAGTATTTTTGTGTTTACATTACATTTTTTCTATTTACATGGGCAATTTTCAATTTTCAAATTTGAAATTTTAATTTGTTGTAAAGAAGAGCAGAGAGGAATGAGTTCTAATGTGAAAAACAACAGAAATTGTAGTAAAAATAGCAATAATTTGTATATAATATTTTTTTTATTTAAAACGCAATTATTTTAAATTTTTATTTGAAATTAATTGCCATATTAATCTATTGTTTTATGAAAATGAATTATAGATTTTTTTCAAATATTGATTTGTTTATATCGTGAAAATTATTGTAATTTTTGTGAAAATTCTTTTACTTTCATAAACATTTTTTTTTATAAATAATAGAAATTTTTCTTTTTATAAAAAAATCGTGTTTGTTTTTATAAGATTCTCATGTTCACGTTTTAAAAATATAATGTTTACCATTTGGTGAAAAATCTTGCTGGGTTAGTTAATAGCCCACAGGGAAATATATATGGGTATTCCTAAATATTTTTAACTGGATCTGTTTTCTTTTACTTTCTATAAGTGTGTTAAATTTAAAATGTTCAAAACAAACTCCGGGGGGTTATTAAAAATATTTGCTATAATAATTAAATTATTGTTAATATTTAGTAGAATAAATTAATAATTTAAAATTAACAAAAATTGACGCACTCTAGAAATTAGGTCAATATTTTGAACTTCTAGAAAAAATGGAAATATTTTCATTTATTTAAATTTTTTTCTTCACTTTACTTTCTCAGCATCTGTGAAAATATTGTGAAAATTTACGTTTGTTAATTATTTATTTAACACAATTTTTACTTTGAACCATTTAAGAACTGCATTCGTAATTTATTACCTTATTTTATGAACCATTTAAAGCGCCTTTTGTCATTCAAAACGTTACGGTATACAAGATGATAATAAACCTATAAAAATCTGTTGTAAACCACTTTGATATCCGAAATAATAACATCTGTTTTTGTATTCAAACGGCTGGCCAGTCAATGGTCAAAGCCTACTGCTGCGAAACCAGAGGAGCAGAAGTATGCAAAACGGAAACAAATTTTTTGAAATTGTACATTAATAAAAAACAACAACGAGAATAACAAATAAAATTAAATTTAATTATAAACAAGAGAATGGAAAGAAAATTGAAATAATTTTGTATTGTTATTTTAATGTTTGTATTGGAAATAGATAAAGAAAATAAATTAAAAATGTTAAAAAACAATCAAATCGTATACAGGTTAAACAATTGATTAACCCTTTAAGGGTTAAAGAGATCAAATAGGGATTGTGGGATAAAAATGTTTTTAACAAGCAAGAGTTCTATATTCGTGCCGAAATTTTCAGAGGTTCTCACGTATTTTTGCTCATATCTTGGTTATTTGTGGATGGAAATGGAAAACTTCTCGCAAACATTTCTGACAGAATTATTGAAGATTTGTACCGCGAAGATATCTGGGGTCTTCAGAAAATTGATTTAAGGAGACACACAGACGGACAGATAGAAAGATAGATAGATAGATAGATAGATAGATAGATAGATAGATAGATAGATAGATAGATAGATAGATAGATAGATAGATAGATAGATAGATAGATAGATAGATAGATAGATAGATAGATAGATAGATAGATAGATAGATAGATAGATAGATAGATAGATAGATAGATAGATAGATAGATAGATAGATAGATAGATAGATAGATAGATAGATAGATAGATAGATAGATAGATAGATAGATAGATAGATAGATAGATAGATAGATAGATAGATAGATAGATAGATAGATAGATAGATAGATAGATAGATAGATAGATAGATAGATAGATAGATAGATAGATAGATAGATAGATAGATAGATAGATAGATAGATAGATAGATAGATAGATAGATAGATAGATAGATAGATAGATAGATAGATAGATAGATAGATAGATAGATAGATAGATAGATAGATAGATAGATAGATAGATAGATAGATAGATAGATAGATAGATAGATAGATAGATAGATAGATAGATAGATAGATAGATAGATAGATAGATAGATAGATAGATAGATAGATAGATAGATAGATAGATAGATAGATAGATAGATAGATAGATAGATAGATAGATAGATAGATAGATAGATAGATAGATAGATAGATAGATAGACAGACAGACAATAGACAGACGGACGGAGATTGCTTAATCGACTCCGCTATCTATGAGGACCCAGAATATATATACTTTATAGGGTAAATTACATTGTAGCAATTACAAACGGAATGACAAACTCACATCCCCTCCCCCTCCGGGACATGTTTCCTTAATGAAAGACCCTCATCTTGGTGTGTAGCAATCACCCAGATGTCACTGGGTGATGTGACAGAGCAACTTATGCTGGATTTCTGAACTTGAGTATATTTTACTCTTCGCGTAGTAGGCGCCAGTATAGGTTGGGGAATTTTCAGTTATTTGCTGTCATTCCGTAGACGGTCTAAGAATGGAACTGATGTAGGTTGGTGAACGATCCGGAAAGACTCCTCTGCCCGAGAGGAGACTAGTACTGATTAAGTAGACCTCTTACTTTAGGGAAGTTCTCCGTGCTGTTGTCATATCAACAGGATGCATTTTGTTGATGCTACGCTATTTATGCTTGAGATCCGTTCCCTCAACTTGTCGGGGCAATTATTGGGTTCGAATTGACTTTTGAAATTCCAACATACTTTGTCATATTATCTGACATACAGAGGGATCCTGATTCATTGGCCTGTGTTCTTCATAGAAGGATTAAGGGTCGCATGGTAGACCGTCTCAAGTCTAGCTAGTGGATGAAAAAGACCACCGTAAAAAAAGGCCGTGAAGGCAGGTATTCACATTAAGCACTTAGACATCTTGTCCTCTTCACTTGTCTGAATCTGTACTTCGAATTTTCTATAGTTGTGCCCATAACCATCATACTGACCTCAGACTTGCTCATATTGAAAAGGCTTCTCGTCCTGCTCTCGTTAGGGTCAGCACCATACGACCTTTGTGGTTCTACCCTTAATTTTATTAATCCAAGATTATGTTTGGGATTCTTTCGTCCATATTTTTAATTCGGCCTCGTTATGTCTAGTTTTCTTCTCTTTAAAGCAAGTAAATTCACTCTTTTCTTAAGCCTTAAAGGGTTAATTTCAATACAAACTTTTCGCATACAAATAATAACAGTATTTCTTCAAATAACAATAAATTAATGATGAATGTTTTATTTTTCCAAACAAAAAAAATCATTTTGCAAACAATTGTAGGAAAAAAACAATTGATATATTTTTTTGTTATTTGTAAATCAAAATTTATTACAAAATAACGAAAATTTATTATAAAAAGCGTATGAACGAATGTATTTTATAATAAGTGTATTTTAATGACTGGCAAAACGCAAATGTTTTAAATAATAAAAATTTTAAAAGAATTTAATTTTTTTTTTAAACTTTTGCTGAAAATGGCAAAAATATTTTTACACATGCTTTTTTCTAATAAATAATATTATTTATTATTTAATCAATTACTTTTTTTTTTTTTTTTTTTGCTTAAGAGTATTTTTCCATAATGAAATAAGAAAATATTAAAAAAAAATAACAACAATAAGAAAAGAAATATAGATTATTATAAACAATTGAAATATTTCATTAAGTGTTTTTTTCTAAGAAATTATTTTTAAGATTTTTTCTTAATATTTAGCTTATTTTTTTATTAATAATTGTTAGATTTTTGGGGCTACAACAGGAAATGTTAAAAAAAGCATTTATTAAAATTTTTTTGTTGGTTTAAAAACAAAATTCTTTGAAAGTAAAGAAATTTAAAGAAAATTTTCAAAAAACTGTTTTTTTAAAACACTAATAAAAATAAGTTATAACTAAAAATTTTAAAACTTTTTTGTATAATATAATAGTATACAACATTAACTTTTAAATTATAGAAAAATAATAAAAAACAAATTATATATTTATATTTTATTAACCCCCCAAACTTTGATATTTTGTAGAGCAACAACAAAAGAACTATTAAGCGAAAACTAACAATGATTCATAATAAAAACCTAAATATTTCTTAAATATTTATTCTCTATAAAAATTTTTCGAATTCTTAAGAATTTTCTTTAAAAATTCGCACATTTTCATTATCTTTCTCTAGTTATTTCCCCTTAGGTTTGATAAGAATTCTTTATGTCTGCCCTGCCTTGTTGATATGTGGATTTTTTTTTTGTTTTAATTTATTATATTTCTCGAATCAACAATATTCTGTAGACTAAAAGATTATATTTTCAGTTTTCTATTTGCAGTTTTTAGACAGTTTGATGATAAAACAATCAAAATAAATAAAATAATTTCTTAAAAATTTTAAGATAATTCTATTACTGAGGTAGGGCTTATAAATTATATAGACTTTTATCGGTTAAAAAATTAAATAAAATTGTAAATCAAATGTTTAAAGAATATCAGGAAATAATCATAAAAAGTACTTCATATATTATGATTTTGATTTAATATTAGACAAAGGGCCGGAAAAGAAGGTTGTTTTCTTAACAGCTTAAGATTTAAAATAAGTATTTTTTTTCTCTCAGTGTACCCAGTGCATAGTTCGGTTAGTTAACTACCTTTTCAAAATTGTACTAATTTCCTTTATTCTCATTTTTTTTTCTCTTTACAGGGAAATTTATACAATAAATCCGTTCCTGACAAAAGACAAACTTTTTTCTACACTAAAACACAATATTTTTGGCCTTGAAAACACCAAAGAAAAACACCCTTTAAGTAATTTTCCTACATAACTCTAATAAGCAACTAAATACAGGAATTTTATACTACTCCAAAATCTATCTACAACTAAACCCTCCAGAAATAAAGTACTTATTAATTTATTGCAAATCTAAACGAATCTATCATCAAAAAACTCCCCCTCCCTCTAATTTGAAACAACAATAATACATCACTAAAAGAAGAAGAGAAAGCAAAGGAAATCTAAAAAGGGAAGTTGAGAAAGTAAAACATCAATTCAAAATTCCCTTATAAAGACTTTCTCCGATGACCAACAAGGTCGTTTTAAAAGAGAAAGTAGACACCCACTACTGCTGCTCGGGTCAGTACGTTATAGTTGAGGACAATACAAACGCTAAAATCCTGTCTGCCCAGGGACACTCATATGCTGCCAGAGCTGATTTGAACTATTCGAAATAACGCTAAGGACTAGTACAAAAAAAAAATAGATCGGAATCTCCTTTCGAACAGCTCAATTAGAGTAAATACTCGAATTTATTTATAATTTCGAAACACAACTCTTAAACGAGAAGAAAAGAGTAAGTGTTTCCTCGTGAGAGCAATTTTTGAGTTTCTTGTTTATATTTTCGGCTTCAAAACGGCGGGTACAGTTTTAAAAGTTGTTGGCGCATCATGGCAAAAGACCCGCATTGGGACGTACATTCTAATCGGTGCTGGTTTGCTAGTGATTGGTGCCTTCTTCATTAGTTACATCGAACGTCCAGAATATGATGGTACCTATTGTGCTACGGCATTTTGGACAAAAAAAGTTGGCTTCCAAATCGAGTATTGGAAGCAACAAAATGATCTTCTTAACATTCCAAAAGGTGCTGCTAGAATATGTTATAAGGATTCCATCTATGAGAATGGGTAAGTTTGATAAAATAGATGGATAGATAGATAGATAGATAGATAGATAGATAGATAGATAGATAGATAGATAGATAGATAGATAGATAGATAGATAGATAGATAGATAGATAGATAGATAGATAGATAGATAGATAGATAGATAGATAGATAGATAGATAGATAGATAGATAGATAGATAGATAGATAGATAGATAGATAGATAGATAGATAGATAGATAGATAGATAGATAAATAGATAGATAGATAGATAAATAGATAGATAATAGATAGATAAATAGATAGATAGATAGATAGATAGATAGATAGATAGATAGATAGATAGATAGATAGATAGATAGATAGATAGATAGATAGATAGATAGATAGATAGATAGATAGATAGATAGATAGATAGATAGATAGATAGATAGATAGATAGATAGATAGATAGATAGATAGATAGATAGATAGATAGATAGATAGATAGATAGATAGATAGATAGATAGATAGATAGATAGATAGATAGATAGATAGATAGATAGATAGATAGATAGATAGATAGATAGATAGATAGATAGATAGATAGATAGATAGATAGATAGATAGATAGATAGATAGATAGATAGATAGATAGATAGATAGATAGATAGATAGATAGATAGATAGATAGATAGATAGATAGATAGATAGATAGATAGATAGATAGATAGATAGATAGATAGATAGATAGATAGATAGATAGATAGATAGATAGATAGATAGATAGATAGATAGATAGATAGATAGATAGATAGATAGATAGATAGATAGATAGATAGATAGATAGATAGATAGATAGATAGATAGATAGATAGATAGATAGATAGATAGATAGATAGATAGATAGATAGATAGATAGATAGATAGATAGATAGATAGATAGATAGATAGATAGATAGATAGATAGATAGATAGATAGATAGATAGATAGATAGATAGATAGATAGATAGATAGATAGATAGATAGATAGATAGATAGATATTAGATAGTTAGATAGTCAGATAAATCTAAGTTTTATCTGGATTCTAATAATCAAACTTTATTTTTATAGCTGGGCCCAAATCGAAATAGAGACACAACGCACGTTTCCCGATTGGGTACAGGCCTATGGTGCTGGTATTATAGAAGGATCCTTAACCTGGAAACAGGTTTATCATCAATGGTTAAAGTAAGTTTCTCGAATTCTTAAGAAATTCTAATAAATCGCTTTAATCTAAATTTTTCTTATTATCCTTACAGCACCATCCAATCATCCTGTGAACGTGACGAAGAAGCCCAAAACTTTTGTACCTGGCTGCGAGATCTATTAACAGAGAACTATGTAAAAATTAAAGAGAATGCCGTATTAAGACAAGAAAACGATCATTATTGGCATCAAATTAGTTTGTACTTCAATCAATTGGAAGGTCTGGAAACTGGCTATAGACAAGGGGCGAAGAGAGCACGTTCTGATCTGGAAGAAGAAATACCATTTCCTGACTTTCTACTAATGAATTCGGCAGCCGATATACAAGATTTGAGAATCTACTATGAGAATTATGTTGTAGCAGGGGTAAATCGCACCGAAGAGGGTGATGCAACTGGGGCGGAGATGGCAGATAAAAATTTCAACTTACCCAGTGCTACTATGCTGACGAAAATCTTTCAGGCCGATGATTCGCCCACCTGGCAGTTGTTATTTGGTCACAGCACCGCAGGCAGTTATGCCTCTATGTTGAGAATACAAAAACGCTACAAGTTCCATTATCATTTTGGTCCCAACCAAAGAACTAATACAGTGCCGGGAGTGGATATTACTTTTACCGGTTATCCGGGTATTTTGGCCTCCACAGATGATTTCTATGTGGTAAAAGGAAGACAAGTTCAATCTATAGTGGCTGGTGTGGGCATTAAAAATAACAATTTAGCTTTGTGGAAAACGGTGGATGTAAATGAAGCCATGCCTTTAGCGGCACGAGTTATGGCCGCCAATCGTATAGCGCAAAATCGTAAAACGTGGTCTAAGGCCATGTCACGACATCCTTTCACCGGTTCGAAACAATGGATTACCGTGGATTTAAATAAACTAGGACCTTTAGATAATTTATATAGAACTTTGGAAGAGGACGAGAAATTAGATGATAAACCAGTGGCATTAAATCCCAATGATGAGGCTGCCATTACCGAACGTTTAAATCGTTTCAAGGGTCTGGTATGGATTGCCGAACAATTACCGGGACGTTTACATATGAAAGATGTTACCGAACAATTCTTAAGTGATAATAACACCGCCTGGTTAGCTAATGGTACTCCCTATTTTGAGGAGATTTTAGAAGCTAGTAAAGTGGAAAGTGGTTCCTATCCCGTTAATCTTACACCTTCAGACAATGAGGAGCTGACAAACTTAGAGGCTGTAGACAAGTTTTTAAGAACTCACGGTTTTCGAGGAGATCTCCTGGGAGAGGATTCTTCGGTGGCTTATGGTAACATTGATATCAAACTATTTGCCTATAATGCCCGCTTGGGGGTCAGCGATTATCATGCTTTTGCTGGTCCCGTCTTCATGCGTCTGCAGCATATGCAGGTTAGATCAATAACCGAGGAAACATCACAGTCTGAGGGCACTATAAATTCATCCATATTGGATGATCGTCTTAGTGTCACCATAGACGATGCTGCTGAATTGGCTGAATTAGAAATGATTACAGAACGTAGACCTGTAAGAAATGACATGAAAGCCTTGGCCATGCGTCAGTCGGGCATAGGACCGTTTAAATGGTCTTCGGCTCAAAGCAATATGGCGGATATAGAACACGCTGGCCATCCAGATGAATGGAATTTTGGCAAAGTTTCCCCCAAATGGGCGTGGTAGCAAATTAGTTTAATTATTATACAAGTAGTGCTCAATCATTTCCAATAAAACACCATCACCATAATCACTCTTCTTAGGGTTTTAAAAGCTCTTCGTCATTTAGTTTATTTAAATCCCTTTTCATTGAAAAATTTTGTATATTTTGCATTCTATTCTTAATTTTTTAAACTGCAATTCTTTTTGTATTTTAAAACTTTTTTTCGTACGTTTTTGTCTTGTAAATTAAATTTTGTGTATAAAACTGGATAAAGAAAAGAAACTTTTGTATAGTAAATTATTTAAAAATAGTTTCTCAAGCATTTTCCAAATTGTATAAAGTAAAAAGTATAAAAATGTTTGTTTGTAAATTATATTTGTATTGTATTAAATGTTAAATTTGCCAAAACTTAAATCAAATCAAATAATGTAAACAACAAATTGTGTTCGTCAATAGTTTTAATTGTGATACAAAACTAATCTTTTAATTAGCGAATTTTTGATTAAAATAAAACAAAGTCTTCCAGTTTATAGTAATAATTTTTTTTATATAGTCAATATAATATAACGTACAACAAAATGTGTCTTTTTTTGTAATAAAATGAAGAAGAAAAATTGTTTAATTATAAAAAATGATTTAAAGAAATAAATTATGAAAATCACAAATTTTGTACTGAACCAAAATATTTGAAATGCGTTTTTATTTAATTTGAAATAAATTTAAAATAGGTTATGTGCCTTGTGTAGTCTACAGTCTAGCGGTCAACAGACTAGTCTATAGTCTAATCAATAGTTAAGACTATAGTCTGATTCACAGTCTAGACAATAGTTTAGTCCATAATTTCGACAATAGTTTAGTCCATAGTTTATGGTTGTCTACAGTCTAGTTTATAGTCTAGTCTACAGTCTAGTGTATAGTCTAATCTATAGTTCAGTCTATAGCCTTGTTTATAGTATGGTCTAGTATGTAATCTTGTCTATACTATAGTCCATAGTTTAGTGTATAGTGTAGGCTATAGTCTAGTTATAATTTAGTCTATAGTCTTTCAATAGTTCATTCTATAGTCTAGTTTATAATTTACTCCAAATTCTGGTCAATAGTTTAGTCCATAGCCTAGTTTATAGTGCAGTTAAGAGTGTAGTCTAGCTTACTGTATAGCACACAGTCTAACCTATAGTCCAGTCTACAGTAAAGTCTAACGTCTAGTTTATAGAATGGTCTAGTTTGTAAACTCTCGTATATAGTCTTGCCTATAATCTCGTTTATAGTGTAGTCTGTAGTCTAGTCTATAATCAAATCTATAGTCTAGTGGGTAGTATAATTTATAGTCCAGCCTATAGTCTAGTTTATGATCCAGCCTATAGTCTAATCTATGGTCCAGTCTAAAGCCTAGTCTATAGTTTAATCTATTGTATAGTCTACAGTCTAGTGTACAATCTAGTCTAATCTATAGTCTAGTGTACAGTATAGTAAAAAGTCTAGTTTATATTATTTATAGTCTAGTCTATACTTTAGTCTATAGTCTAGTCTGTAATCTAGTCAATAGTCAAGTCAATGGTTTAATATATATTCCAGTCTAGTGTTTGGTCTATAATCTAGTCTTTAGTCTAGTCTATAGTCCAGACTATAGTCTAGTCTATAGTCTAGTCTATAGTCTAGTCTATAGTCTAGTCTATAGTCTAGTCTATAGTCTAGTCTATAGTCTAGTCTATAGTCTAGTCTATAGTCTAGTCTATAGTCTAGTCTATAGTCGAGTCTATAGTCTTGTCTATAGTCGAGTCTATAGCCTAGTCTATAGTCTAGTTTATAGTCTAGTCTATATTCTAGTCTATAGTCTAGTCTATAGTCTAGTCTATAGTCTAGTCTATAGTCTAGTCTATAGTCTAGTCTATAGTCTAGTCTATAGTCTAGTCTATAGTCTAGTCTATAGTCTAGTCTATAGTCTAGTCTATAGTCTAGTCTATAGTCTAGTCTATAGTCTAGTCTATAGTCTAGTCTATAGTCTAGTGTATAGTCTAGTGTGTAGTCTAGTCTATAGTCTAGTCTATAGTCTAATCTATAGTCTGGTCTATAGTCTAGTCTATAGTCTAGTTTATAGTCTAGTCTATAGTCTACTTTATAGTCTAGTTTATAGCCTAGTCTATACACTGTTTATATAGTCTAGAATATATTAAAATACATCGTCGCATTTAGAAAGGCATTAATTAGTTCATTTTTAAATAAACTCACAACCAAACCCCCTTTTTTATAACGTACGCATTAATCGCTCAACGCGTGACGTCACACAAAAATATTTTGCACAAAAGTAACAAATTTGTTAAATGCCGGCTTAATACCAGGCGCACAACAATTTTAGTAGAGAGTAAATACGAAAATAAAAATTTAATGTCTCGAAAAACGGTCACATATGTTAAGGCATTAACATAAATATTAATTAACCACGCTGACGTCATCGCTAGGTATTAATAATAATACTCTGCCCAAAAGTATGCAATATATTTTGCTTGCAAAAAAATTTGTGTTGTGCAAGGTTTGGTTGTTTGTTTGTTTGTTTGTCTGTTCATATCTGTTCGACTAAATAAGATCTTTTTTGGAAAAATCCCTTTTTGATAGAAATTTTATATGATCAGAGATTTTAGTTATTTTCTAATGTACAGCATTATCTTATTAAAACTTCAAAAAATTTAAAACCGAATCAGATATAACTGAATTGAGGAAGGCATAGAAGGTATTACAAGTACTGTAGCAGTTTTTTCAATTCTTTTCAAATATTGGTTTGTGTCTTTACTAGGTTGTTCTTTTTTAGTTTACCCATACAATTGTTATTGGTAGAGATGGATTTAGAAAGGAATTTATCCATTTATAAGATAAAACAGTGTTCCTAGAATGATAATGCAGTCTAGTAAATAATAGACATCACCAATTTATCATCTCTAACTGCAATGTTGCCATAATAAGCTTTTAATTATATAAATTTGGAAAATGGCAAATTTCTACTAATTATCATTTGTGTTATAATGAATCTATATTTTCATCAAAAACCTCAAAGATGATGGTCACTGATTTTCATTAAAAATCGCCTTTTATACGGAAAACTCGATAACAGTAACATAGTATTAATTTCAATTTTCCATAAAAATTTATGAAAACATTAAAATTGGCTTAACAATGCACCAGTAGAGAAAAATTTAATAATCTGCTTCTTAAATTATCATTTAACTGATAAGACAGATTAAATATAGTAATCGTGCTCATTTATTCTTAAAATTCAATTATTTTATTTAAACATTTTAAAGTTCTTTGCAATCAAATTCCAGCAAATGCAATTGGCGATTTTTATCGTTCAAATGCATTTCTAATAACTCAACTTGGCATCATTGCAGCCGTCATCTTTAGTTTCGTTTGTCATTCTTTCTTTTGTTTTCTGTTTGCGGTCATTAAATTGTTTTAATAAATTATTCATAATTTACAATAAACGCGAAAAGAAAAACATACGAATAAATTTACTATTGTAAGCTACAAGTGTGTGATGCTACAAAAAAGTACGCGAAAAAACAAGTGAAAAATCTAATTAGAATAAAATAAATTTGCAATAAAAATTTGCAAGAAAAAGCAGGAAATTTAGTTGGTGCTAATTAGTAAAAGTGTTGTAAAACAAGTGTGAGTTGAGTGTAAAACAAAAAGAATAAAAAACACCGGTTTTTGTAAGCAAAATTTGCAAACCAACAACAATAAAACTGCAGTGCATTAAAAGTGAAACAAAAAATAAAAAGAAATTTAATAAAAATCCCTTGCCTTCTGTTTAAATTAATTGATTTGCAAATTTCTGTCTGTTTTTACAATAAATTGCAACAACATAAAGAAATTCCTTTATAACAAAAGAAAAATACATAAACACACAAACAAATTGAAAGAAAAAAGAAAAAAAAAATAAGGCAATAACAACAAAAATAAAAGATAGCAAAAACAAATACCAGACACCAGCAAAAAAAAAAAAAATAAATAAGAAAAAGTAAACAAAAGTTCAATTCGCCGTGTTTTTACATTAAACTTGCCGTCAGTGTTATTGTTGTTTTTAGTAAGCGAAAAAAGTGTTGGTAAACGTTTTTGATTACAGCACAAGAGAGGTAAGTGTAAACCGTTTATAAATGTTAATAATAATAATGAAAGCTAAATGCAGGTATCAAATATAATTTCATTAAAAAATATAAATAAACCAGACCTCTGTTTAGAGGTTGAGTCATTTTAGGGTGTATTTTGTGTCTGTTGTTAAAATGGTCTGTGTGCGTTTTTTTTTTCAAATTGGAAAAGGTTGTGTGTGAATGAGTCAATTTTTGTATTTGTCCAGATTGAGTTCAATGACAGGCCGCTAGATGGCCATACAAGTGTAGTCGCAGAGGATGTTTATGTTTACAATAAGGACGACAGGCGATATTTTAATAATGATTAAATTTATTAAAATATTAAGTTTGGAATGAAAACGTTAGAAATGAATAGAACAATATCATATTAATTTTGCCAAATTTTAAAGCTAATTTCACAATATTTTGAAAATTTTAGTAGGGGAGGGGAGGATATTATGCGTTCTTGTTGACGCATAATATTGGTTCTACACACACCTTAAAGTATACCAGTCCGCACAGAATCACTTTCTGAGTCGATTTAGCTATGTCCGTCCGTCTATGTGTCCATATAAATATTGTGCGTAAGCTACAACTTGCAGTTTTCAAGATACTTTGATGAAATTTGGTAAATACTCTTCTTTTGACCGAAGGATGAGGACTACTAAAATCGGTCCATTATTTGGCCTAGCCCCCATACAACCTTACCCCCGAAAAGGCCTTTAGAGCTCATAAATATGTTCAAAATTAAAACTTAGTTTTATATAAGTCCAAATATTACTGCCAATTTTCGTAATGATCGGGATTCATTTGACCCTAGCGCCCATAAAAAATCACCTTCAGAAAGTCACTTGAAGGTCAAAATTCACTTATAAACATTATTATCACAATGATTCTGCCCATACAAGTTTAATGTAGATGTAAATCTCTCTACAAAATTGTAAAATTAAAG